AAGAACGCAGTGCTTAATGAGCTGTCGTGATGATAGTGTACAAGAGTTGGTGCGTTCAGCCATAGACGTTCTCACCAGTGTTTCTCTCTTATTGGAATCTTTTGTCGGTTCAGGTTCTTATTTCAAGAATTTTGTTTTTTAAAAATTTTGTTCTGTTAGAATTTTAGGTGAGAATTCTGACAAAATGCTACTAGAAAAATGTAGGAAAGAAGCTGCCATAATAGGTATGATAAATGTCCTACGTTCAACTTGTGTCGAACTGAGCCAACAATGGCATCGGTTATGTTCGCCCTTTTTTTGCCAAAAATCTGCCCTCGAAACAGGATGGTTGCGTCGAAACAGAATACTTTAGTTCATTCGATTCAAAAAAATTACAGCTTAGGAGATGGTTATTATGAATAAAATAAGTTATTGAATCATGGATAAGTTGTTAAATTGAAATAAGTAATGAATAAAATAAGTTATTGAGTTCAAGTCTATCTTAATAATTTGTAAAAAAACATGACATTCTGCCTGACCTGATAGCCCTCATTCAAAAACCAGCTTCCCCCTCCCCCCGTTCTCCTCGTATGTACATCCTCGAGAGCCTCTGGTACCCGGAAGTAATCTGAATAGTTACATACCTTGAATACCTTGAACAGCTGTTGTTTCATCGATCTTTGGTGTCACGCCATCAATGCAGCTGGCAACTTCTCCATTTCGATCGATCCTGAGCCTGACGAGACCAGGTGACACCATAAAGGCCACGATTGGATCTCGCCATCGTGTTGGTGGCCTCCCCAGTGTTCGTTTCATCGCGCGTGGATACCACTCCATTATTCGCTTCGTCCATCGGTTGAGTTACATGTGCCAGCAAAAATTGTCTACTAGGAAGGTTGTCAGTGACTTGTTTACAAGTAAGCTGATTTGATTTTTTTTTTTCTGTTTTATGATAAAATGAAGCGTTTTACCAACCGAAGCATATTTTGCAGACTGTATGGCGGCACATGTTCTTTTCGACGGCACTCTTTGCTATCGACCACAGACTTATTCCACCGGCATAACGTTCCAGCTTCAGGTTCTCCTGCCACATAAGGGCTCATTGAGGCCTATCATCCTTGGGGCCGGAGGTACATTGCATCTTCATATTTTTGTTCCTGAAGCATCTGCAGTAGGCAAACCGTAATTTTATGGCTTTTCAGGTCGATACGACACGTTGCTGGAAGATGAGCGCCATGCGCAGGATCCCATCCCTCCAAATCCCTTGTGTGCAGTAGGATGCGGTCTCTCACTGGACACTGTGGCTCAGCTTTGCTGTACAAATACTCCAGGTAATTGCATAAAAGGTCCTATCAGTCATTTGGTTGCTTTATAGGATTTGAAGTGGAAAATTAGTTCTGGTATTGTCTCTTTTCTTAATAACAGGAAGGGCGTGAGTCTCCCAGTCGTTTTGTCCGGTTAGAATGCATGAAATAAATTGTAGCCAACGGATTTTTAAATTTAAAAACTTACGTTCAAAAGTTAGCCCAGGAAATTGCTGCTAGCAGAGAGCTTTCGCTTGAAAAACTTTTGAGTGGATATGCAATTTTTTAGATTTCGAATCGATTTGGTGCCGGGCTTTAGTCTGTTCAACTTCGGATCAGTTCCTGAAAACGAC